ATATATATATATATATATATATATATACGGTAATAGAGGAATTAATACACAACTACATGAATATTGAAACTCAACAGCACTGTTTCGTAAAGTGCAAGTACCTTACTCATCAGGATCTTTATGTTTAATAATTCATTGCACCAACGAGCATACATTATAAACGCAAATTAACATATTAAAAAACGTACAGGTTTAAGTGTTACATAATAATCTGTGTCGGCATGATGATACGAGTTCATTACTTTTGTTTAGTGTGGAGTTGTGAGGTCTAAAAATTATGATAATTTTTTTCTTCAAACATAGAATACATCGTTTGCTGGAGCTACTGTACGGGCTACCGCGAGCAAGAATTGTCCATGTTATTCTATGCTTAATATTTTTTTCTTTGAGTGACCAAACATGCTTACTTAGTTCTGTCGCATTTCTTGAGGCCTGGTTACGAAATGAGTCAGTGTGGTTTCTGTACCTTGTTTTCATTTCCAGTGAGTCTGACGTACGTTTCGCTAGTTTGTTTTTCTAATCGCGTAACTTCCGCTTGGTATATGACGCCATACTGCAAACACTTCCCGTCCAGTGGACATGCCGCTTTTTTCTGGCAATTGCATAGCTTGTTGACTTTCGTTTTATCAGTCGTGGTGTTCCTATCAGTCGCGAGTTGTCGTTTGTTTTTACTGTTGATAGTATATTTTATATTGTTCTTACAGCTATAGCTGACTTTGTTGGTATTACGGTTAAATATTTTCCTGAGATTATTACCAGTCGGGATTCTGAAGCATTTGTCAATTGAATCCAGGAATCGATTGCCGATGCTGTTACTATATGGTGGGTTGAACCAAAGGACATTAATGCGCGGCCGTTTTTTTACCCTTTTAATATTTGGAAAAATACGAGTTAGCCACTGAACCATGTACTTTCACACTCAAGCAATAGAAGAGACATGTTCAGACATTCACAAATAAAAATTAAAACGAAAGAAGAATAACTGCATACCTCACACCATTAAATCTTTGAATGGGCTAGCCAAGTCTTCCACATACAACAATACACTTATTATCTATATTTAATTTAATTTATTTTATAATATTTTCACTGAATTCTTTAAAACTAATTTGCTATATAATTTGTGCAGTATTTCGCTTGATTTCATTGGATTTTACAGGCATACAAAACTGGGAGTGTACTTGTTACACAGTAATTTAAAACACTCAATTACAGATGTGATTAATTCATAAATTCAACAATGTGCATAGTTGCATCAAGAGATGGGTAGACCAGTAACAATAGTAGAGAAAGAGGGAAAAGGAAGAGAGTAAGGAGTCATTTGAGCCATTGTTGTAATACACATGAATAAATTCTGCCTCTGAAAATTTATGATGAACAAATGACCACAAAATACATTAAAATACACCAACTCAAAAGCCCTTGCTATTACATTAAAAGGTCCACCCCAACTAAGATCGTGAGTGCCAATATTACTTGACTGTTACCATTTTAAAATTACTTTGTTGGACACTATTTAATTGTTATATTTTACAATCCATATCCTTATATTTATCAAGACATTTTTGTCACATTTTGGTGGCAGTATTTCTTATGCCTGGTTAAATAGCACCTGGTGGGGGTATTAGTGTAATTTGATTGGCTGAGCAAATAGCCACCTGGGCTCGTACGTCGAGACAGGAAAGACAGGCTTTTGGGTGGTCACTTGCCAGGGAACCCAGCGACGAGTGAACACACTAAATATTGTGTGTAGAAAGTAGTCGTTTGCCATCATAGCCATGCAATGCAGGCAGATATCAAGTTATGAACTGAAGCCTGTGCAAGTCACGAGAAACGCAGTGTGTTGTAATTGACAAGTGAGTAATGTAAATTTGATGACTTTTAAAGGGTGGTGTTCAATTGTAGGTATTTACCAGTTTGCTGACTGAAACTTTGCAGTCACGGAATGTAATTATTATCGGTCATTTTGTGTACTACGCTTATGCAGGCATTTTTGCTGTGAATACTATTTTTAATTAATCGCCGTCAGACAACCTAGCTGAGGTGTGGAGGGGCACTGAGTGGACTCGGCTGAAGCTAGCAGACACTCCCAGCAGACAGTGGAAGCTAGCAGACACACTAGCAGCCACAGTCTATCAGGCATAATAATGCTTTGAATCAAAGTCTGTCACATCTTTTTGCATCACGTAATCATAGTTTGACATCAATATATTAATGTAAATGGCTAATATTCATTTAAACAGAGAAAATCTAACAAATGTACTCACTCCCCCTGAAAGTGTAGCTCTATGTGCGTGTATATAAACACTATTCCCAATATTTTTTGGGAAATATTGAGTGTCCACCTTATCTACTTATATGATATGAAACATACATGTATTGATTACAATTTGTGATAGGTGATATTTAATAATTAGCAGACATTTTTAAAATATAGAAATCATAATTATGGTAGAACTGCTCTTTTTGCTAGCAGACACTAATTAAGTCACAAATTACAGTAAAAATATTGAGTGTGCACCTTAACCACTTATGTGGCATGAAACATACATGTATTGTCTACAATTTGTGATAGGTGACATTTAATAATTAGCAGACAATTTTAAAATATGGAAATCATAATTGTGGTGGAACTG